CACCACCGAGGCACACACACGCCTGACCCTGCAGACCACACCACCGAGGCACACACACGCCTGACCCTGCAGACCACACCGGTGCTGCACACACATGCCTGACCCCGCAGACCACACCGCCAAGGCACACACATGCCTGACCCCGCAGACCACACTTGTGCTGCACACACACGCCTGACCCCGCAGACCACACCACAAAGGCACACACATGCCTGACCCTGCAGACCACACTGCCGAGGCACACTCAGGCACTCCCATGGACACATTCGCCTGTACACACCCACTTCTGGTGTACACGCCCACACTCACGCAGGCTTCTGCACACTGCACAACCAGCCGGTGAGGAAGTGGATGCTGTGTGTCTGTCTCTTGGTGGCTTCTCCTGGATTGTCCCTGTGGCCCCCAGAGCTCGAAGGCACTTGCTGCAAGGGCAAAAAGCACACCCACAGCCACGCAGCACCCGCCTGTCCCGCTTTTGGTGGGTGCCAGAGACAGGCCTGGCTGAGAAAAGAGGGGAAGGAAAGGGAAGATGCTGGGGTGCGTCCTGCCCCTCTGACCTTGGCTTTGGGGTGGGAAGGAGAGGGAAGTTGCTGGGGTTCTTCCTGCCCCTCTGACCTTGGCTTTGGGGTGGGAAGGAGAGGGAAGACGCTGGGGTGCTTCCTGCCCCCCTGACCTTGGCTTTGGGGTGCGAAGGAGAGGGAAGACGCTGGGGTGCTTCCTGCCCCCCTGACCTTGGCTTTGGGGTGCGAAGGAGAGGGAAGATGCTGGGGTGCTTCCTACCCCTCTGACCTTGGCTTTGGGGTGGGAAGGAGAGGGAGGATGCTGGGGTGCTTCCTGCTCCTCTGACCTTGGCTTTGGGGTGGGAAGGAGAGGGAAGACACGGGTGCTTCCTACCCCTCTGACCTTGGCTTTGGGGTGGGAAGGAGAGGGAAGATGCTGGGGTGCTTCCTGCCCCTCTGACCTTGGGATTTGAGGGAGGACGCTGAAGCGTGTGACCTGCTCCTCCGACCTCGGGTTTGGGGTGCTCCCTTTGACTACTGGCTCCATTTTTTGTCTTTTATTTTTGTTTCTGCTTTTTCTTGGTTTCTTGAGTAAAGTCTCCATGGCGCATCAAATTGTGTATTTTTTTACAAGGACCCTGTGCTGCCGCTTTGTCAGCTTTGCTGTGCCACGGGTGAGACGGGCCTGTGCCACAGGTCAAGTGGGTCTTGTGGTAGCTGCCATGTCGTCCTGGCCACGCCCCCCCGCCCCCAACGAGGAGAGGAGCCACAGACCACTGAAGACTGCCTTCTCGGGGTTTTGTGGGAGAATGTGGCTGGACGTTTTCCCAAGAGGGAGGCACTCTCCTGCCCGGTCCCTGGCCCCTGGCCCCTGGCCCCAGGCCCAGCCCTGTGAGAGACGCGTCACCTCTGGCTGCTGTGGTGCGTGTTGAGGATTCCGGGGCTGAAAACAGGACCCTAGGCACTGTCCACACAGCAAGGCAGTCTCTTAAATTAATCCAGTGTGGGGGGAATTGGGGTTGAAACCCATTTGTGAGCCAGTACTTCCTTGGGGCAATTTGAAAAATGCAGATTTTATTTCTGTGCCCTAAATGCATAATTTCCTTTAGGCCGACGCCTGGTCCTGTGGCCGCGTGGAGGAGCCTGAGCCAGCTGCCTTCACTCAGTGTGCAGCAGCTCAGACGGGGGGGGGTGGGGGCGGGCAGAGGGCGTGACATCCCCCCGCCGTGCGCCTCGGTCCACCCGGTGCCTCCCTCCGCCCCGCGCCTCCCTCCGTACCTGCTCGCAGCTGAGTCCACATTGAATAAATTTGGCCTCAATCATTCGCTTCACCCATCATGTCACCGTGTAAGTGCTGAGGTCAGCATAGGAGCTAAGAAACATTTTAATGTGTAGGAAACTGAGCGGCATTTGTACCTCGGCAGTGGAATAATACATTTTGTTTAGTTGAGTTTGAGGCAGAGAGGCCATTGTTGTGACAGGTTCCGCACCGTGCCAGAGGCAGAAGGCCCAGGCATTGCAACCGCGACGTATTTAAGCCACTTTTCCTAAAATGAACTTCGTGTTTTAAATAATAGATGTTTACCTCCCAGGTTAGACCTTAAATATTCCGATTTTCACTGAAATGGCATTTTTTTAAAGGACGCAGCATTCATGTGCCGTTAGAGAACTGCCACAGGAGTCCTGGGAATTTAAATGGGCGTTTTTAAACCACATGACCTGGGCCAGGCCCTCAGAGCTGCCCGCGCCCCTCCCCAGCCCCCGGAGGGTGTTTTGGTCAGAGACCGTTTACATATGTTTTCTACGTGAATTAAATATTCAGGTACCAAGTCTTGAAAAATGGAATGCTGTGTGCAGGGCCTGCCTCCTAATCCGACTCTGCTTTTCCTTCTACATTTCCCGTCCTAAAAGTGTTTGAGTCCCACAGAGAATCCAGGCTTCTCAGAAAGTTCAGGAAACGGGCGGAGGCTGGCATCACCCTCCCTGGGAGCTGAGGGCCTGGACGGGCACGTCCTAGTTCCCTGTCCTGATGGTTTGCATGGAGACACTGGTGTGTGCATAGGGAAGAGAGGCTCTTGTTGGGAAGGGAAAGGCGTTTGTCCTGCAGTTACTCAGCCTTGGCAGGAATCCCTTTGGAATGTGGGTGGCCTTTGTCACGGACTCCTGCAGGTGCCATGCACATTGCAGCTGTGTCCTCGTCCCCGCCTGTGGGCTCCCCACCGCGTTTCCACGTGGCGCCCATGCGCATCGCAGCCGTGTCCCCGTCCCTGCCTGTGGCCTCCCCACCACGTTTCCACGTGGCGCCCGTGCACATCGCAGCCGTGTCTTCGTCCCCGCCTGTGGCCTCCCCACCACATTCTCACGTGGCGCCATCGTTTGGCCTGTGGCTTTGTGTTTCAGACCCCACATGCCCCTCCGTTGTCTCAGCCGGGGTTCGGGTCCCAGCCCTGCCTGTCAGTCTGGGCCTGGCGGTCAGGCCCTCAGTGACAGCAGCCAAAGCTTCACTGCGGCCTCCTCGTGGGGGGCTCTGAGTTCAGCCTCTGGGGAGACTGGCTTGTTCTTGACTGCAGTGACCACAGGGAGGCTGAGGCTGAGCTGGAGCTGTGGAGCGGGGTCATCTTGCTGCCTGCCCGGGCCCCTCCAGGACCATCTCCCCTCTGCCCACCGAACTCTGAGAATCTGCTGTGTGAGGGGCCGGGGCCCATCCTTGCAGTCTGTGAGGGGCAGCCCCCGGCCCGGGCTCCCCCGCCCTCCCCTGAGCCTCGCTGGCCCTGCGCAGATGTCTGTGTGTTCAGTGGCATCCGCCATATTTTCCTGTGGCAGGAACATGCCTACAGGAGTGCAGGATTCGCCTCTTCACGTGGTCGCTCTGCTGCAGTTGCCATCTGTTTTCAGAGATTTAAAAACTAGTTTAGTAAGAACATCAACCCTTAACGTGACCAGAGGGATTTGTGTGTCCCAGGACGGGTGGTTCCCAGGGAAGGGCGTTGCCGCAGGCCCTGCACGGATCACCTGATAATCTCAGGCTCCGAGGCTGGGGCTCACCGGGGCGCACTTTGGGGACACACGTGGGAAGGCGCTCTGAGGGAGGCGTGCTCTGGGAGGCCTTGCTGCGCAAGATGTGACCCCCACAGCCTCACTCCAGGCCTGTGTGCCGGCTTTGAGAAGCGGACATTCCTGTTCCCAACGAAACTTGCCTCTTGCAAATAGACTCACACTGTAGTGATTGTAAATTGTGGCATTAAAGATAAAAACAAACAGTTCTAAAAATAACTCAGTGCAGAAGGCGGACCCGTGCTGTGGTGCGGAGGATGAGGGGGAGAGGGAGGGTGCTGCGCTGCCATTTACCTCTCAGACGCCACGAGCGACTTGTCCTGTAGAGCAGCTGGTCCTAAACACGTGTGCGCCGGCCAAGAGCTCACGCCTTCCCAGAGGCAGGAGCAGGGCCCGGCTGCCCGCATCCTGGAGGAAGACCCGGACTGCTGCATTCGCCTGCGTCTTATCCGGCCGTGTGGGTTTTGAGCCTCACACACACAGCGCTGGTCAAGAAGCTGTGAGCGGCTCCGTGGTGGTGTGGGCCATAGACACCTCCATGTGTAGTTGCCTTGGGCAGTGTCTGCTGCCCATGTCCGCCTCTGGACACCGCTGCTTGGCCGCCTGGATGGTGTTGAGTACTCCCCTGCCTCTGCGGGAGGAGAGGTGCAGCAGGCCGTCAGGAAGGGCCCGTGGTGCCGTGTGTGTGCACATGCAGCGTGGCATCCACTGATCAGGAGCGTGAGTCATGTGCTGCCCAGTTCCAGGTTACTGGACCACAGGAACGTGGGTCATGTCTTATGGGGCCTTGTCTAGATTTATTTGTGAAGCAAGGCCTTGTTCAAGGCTCAGCATGGACATAGCGTTTCCTGCACTCACTACCCCACCAGCTTCACGTGGCCTCAGCATGGGGCACGCACAAGCTCCCCACCAGCTTCACGTGGCCTCCGCATGGGCACTGCACTCACTCCCCCACCAGCTTCATATGGCCTTGGCATGGGGCACGCACAAGCTCCCCACCAGCTTCACGTGGCCTCCGCGTGGGCACTGCACTCACTCTCCCACCAGCTTCACTGTGGCCTTGGTGTGGCCTGCACAGGTGTGCAGTGAGCGTGTGTGCCGTGCTCCATGTGCACACCCATGCCCATGCATGCGAGAATGCACGGGAGTATACAGGTGTGCCCACACAGGAGAGTGCCCGGGAGCATACAGGTATGTGTGCATGTGTGTATATTTGAAAGTGGCAACAGGTGTTTAAAGCCTAGACCTCAGTGGCCAGGACCATTAGGATGACAAGACAATTTCTAGTCTGCTTTAAAAATACACTAGTATGACATCACAGAGAAATGAAAAAGGGCCGGGGAAGGGATGCAGGCCTCGAACCTCTGCAGGCTTTTTCTATGCACCCCGGGGACGTGTGGCAGTCCGTTTGCTCGGTGCTGAGCGGGTGTTCTGTTCTCTTGCCAGCTCCATGGCTACTTGGAGAACGAGCCTCTGATGCTGCAGCTGTTCATCGGGACGGCGGATGACCGCTTGCTGCGCCCACATGCCTTCTACCAGGTGCACCGGATCACGGGGAAGACCGTGTCCACCACCAGCCACGAGGCCATCCTCTCCAACACCAAAGTCCTGGAGATCCCGCTCCTGCCGGAGAACAACATGCGCGCCGTGTAAGCCACAGGCCGCGGGGACCGCTGGCCTCTGGGGTGGGGGTTGCAGGGCGTGCCTTCCTCCCGGCCCTGGGGGTTTGGCCGGCGCCCCACACTTCCAGCCTCCATGGCCAGGACACTCTTGGTTTAACAGCTAATAAGTAAACTTCACTTGTGCTTTTGACAATGGAGTTGCTTCTCTCTAGGGTTTCAGCCCTGTGTATATTGCCACTTAAAATAATATCTCAGATACACAGCTATAAATATCCTTCTCCATGTTAGCTCTGACACAGGACCCTGTTTCTTTCTGAATACAGCAGCACAAATGGAGGAATGGTTAAAACACGAGCATTGAGAAGTTAGAGCAGTCGGGACGTCGGGTCGCATTTAACTTGAGGCGCCTCCGGCAATGCGGACAGGACCGCACTGAGGTGCAGAGTCTCATCTGACACTGTAATTTGTTTAAAAGCGAATTTTTAGTAAGCTGAAAACAAAACATGTAATTGCCAAATAGGGCCTCATTCACTTAGCCTCAGCTTGTGCTGCGCACGCTGACCCTAACCTGTGAAGGCAGGGAGGTGGAGGACTGCTGGTCCCCGACAGTCACGCAGTACCGTGGGGGGACAGATAACAGACTCGTCTGTGGGTGGAAGTGTGGGGATGGCTGATGTGCAGACCAGCTTTACAGAGCTGGGCCAGAGGGCAGGGACAGAGTCTTGCGAGGTGACCGCAGGCCGGGAGCCCTTGTGATGCCGAAGCTGCGTGGGCGGTGCCTGTCCTGTGCTGCCCTCGGGGTGAGTGAGGAGGTCCTGGGACAGTGAGGGAGGCGTGTGGTAGATGGCGGCGGGGGCCTCGTCACATGGGGCTTCGCATGGGATTTTAGTAAGTTATTCAAAGCCTCTGAGTCAAAAACAAAGGGAAAGCTTTCCTTCCACGTTGGCTTTTAAAGCGTCTGGGGGAGTCTGCCCGCCTGGGAACTCATTCCGAATCCCTGGGTTTGCCTCGAGAGCTGTCATCCAGGTTTCCCAAGGACAGGGCACCATCAGGTGCTTTTCCAGAACGAAGCTTGCGGTCCACAGCCGCAGTAGACGTCCCGGCTTTGCTGACGGCCACATCCACCCCACCTTAATGTGGGCAGTCAGGACCATGCTCTCACACCGCCTCTCGGGGGTCAGGGAGGCTGTGTTTATTCTCTATATTCTCTTAGATTATCAGGAAGAAAAATACTGGGTTTTATTGCATTGAGAATGTACACACGGAATGTGTTACTGGAATATCGTTTTGAATCAAATTATTGAGTAAAAGAGTTTATATGAAACCATAGAAGAAATGGGTTTTACACACAAAAAATGAGGGCTTTTAAATGTAGTGGAAATGACAGGATCTTATAATAAATTGAGCTTTTTGGAAACTACTCCAAGATGAGAGCGAGCTGCTTCCCCTGGCCCCTCCCCTGGGCTACTCTCTGCCGCTCTGGTGATGTCCCGTGTATGTGGCAGTGTGGCCAGCGGCAGCCAGGGCTTGAGACAGCTCAGATGGGACCTGCTTGGTCAAGGTGGAGGCTGGAGGAAAGGTGGGGAGTGACTTTTCTAGGGGCTCACCCCCACTCGTCCCCCCTCATCCTCCTCAACCCCCACTCACCCCCGCACCCTCTCTCGCCCCCGCTCGCCCCCTCTCACAGGTGTCGGGTTCTGTTCTGCGCTTGGCGAGGGCCTCACGTCACTAGCTTCAAGGTCTTGTTTCCCTCGGGGAAGGGGAGTGGCCGCTCCCTGGCACGAGCTCTTGGGGCTGGGGTGAGGGCCAGAGGGTGTGCAGGGCCAGTCCTCGATGCTCCTGTGTCAGCCGTGGGAGGAAAGCTGTGGCATTTGTTTTGGGCAGCATCGACTGTGCCGGAATCCTGAAACTCAGAAACTCCGACATTGAACTCCGGAAGGGCGAGACCGACATTGGGAGGAAGAACACGCGGGTGCGGCTGGTCTTCCGCGTGCACGTCCCGCAGCCGGGCGGCCGCACGCTGTCCCTGCAGGTGGCCTCCAACCCCATCGAATGCTGTAAGTGGACACCGCGTGGCCGCAGTCCCACCCCTTCTCAGCGTCTCGCTCGTACAGACTTGGGACTGGCTGTTCCCGCCGAGCCTCCCTCAGCGTGTGGCCACGAGGGTTTCAGCTGGGCGCGTTTCTGTGCATGCTCTTAGCTGTGTGCGCCTGCCAGGGTTTCCAGACAGTCCCGATTCGTGGCCCCTACTGGGAAAAATAAAAAGGAGAGGAAGTGTGTCCTGAAACACTGAGGTGTTTGTGTCGGTCACAGCTGGGTGACTGACTGTGGGCCCTCCCAGGGGCCCCAGGCTCTGGTTCTTCTGACGCCCAAGCATGGCCAGGGGACACGGCATAGGCCGGCGCTTCCCCCTGCGCTATGCTGACCTCTGCATATTTGTGTGGTGACTGTGATTTGAGGGAAACTGGCTGACTCTTAGGTGGGGATTTTTTTTTTTTTTTAAGACGGGGTTTCACCGCGTTGGTCAGGCTGGTCTTGAACTCCCGACCTCAGGTGATCCGCCCGCCTTGGCCTCCAAAGTGCTTAGATTATAGGCGTGAGCCACCACGCCCGGCCAGGTGGGGATATTTTGGTGATTTCCTTAGGAGGAGGTGAACACCATCGGGGCAAAGTGTGTGCGTACGGCACAGCACCTCCCTTAGAAGTTGCGGTGTCCGCAGGAGTGGCCCGCAGGCTCCGGGTGGGTCGGCTTCTGCGTGACCTGATGGGTGCCATGTGTGTGTCCCAGGCCACCCACCCGGACGGGCCCTCACTGCACCTCTCCCTCTGACGCAGCCCAGCGCTCGGCCCAGGAGCTGCCTCTGGTGGAGAAGCAGAGCACGGACAGCTACCCGGTCGTGGGCGGGAAGAAGATGGTCCTGTCCGGCCACAACTTCCTGCAGGATTCCAAGGTCATCTTTGTGGAGAAAGCCCCAGGTACTCTCTTCGCGGCGGGCCGCTGCGGGCCTGGGCTTCGGGCTGCTGGGCACTGGCTCCTGGGCTGTGGAGTGGCCCTACTTATGCATGGTCACCAGGACGGGCGCGCAGGGCATGGCGCAGAGCAGAGGCTCCATGTGGCCCAGGTCCGTGCCCTGCTGTGGGTTTGTGTGTGAGCTGACTGCTGTACTGCTGGAGGGAAGAGCAGGTGTTTGTTTCTGGGGCTGCCAGGGCCACTGCACAGAGACTGCTGCTGATGGGCAAGGGAGCCGCAGGCTGGGGACATGCAGAGGAGGTGGAGGGCGTTGGCCGGCTCTGTGGGGTCCTCCAGCAGCAGCGAGTGGACGCTTCAGGGTCCCAGTTAGCAGCAGGGCCGGAGGGAGCTCCCCTCACCAGCATTCCTGGCGGAGGTGGGGATGGTGTGGAGGCCTCAGGCAGCGGGGCTGGATGCTCTTTGCCATTAAATTACCTTTACTGCCTCAGCCACGGACACCCCTAGGACCCCCAGAGCTGCCCGAGCTGCCCCTGCCTCCAGGCATCGTGCTGGCCACCTGAAAGCTCTGGGCTTAACTCGGAAGGGGGGCGAGGGTGTCCTCGGGAGTGATGAGCCTCCCAGGGTGTCACGCCTGTGGTTCTGCGCTGCCCACAGGGACGCCGTCCTGCAGGCATTGGGCTCACAGAGCAGTGCGGCCAGGCCAGCTCCGTGCAGACGCTGGCCCCAGCGCTCTCACCCAGGTGGGGCCTCACTGTTTCTGAGCAGGGCTGTGGACACAGTGGGCTACGCTAACAGGAAACAGGTGTGGACACGGGGACCCCAGCGCAGCCCCCAAGGGGTCAGCAAGGTGGGCCCAGCTCTCCACAAAGTCTGTCTTGAGCGCTCTGTTTTTGGGGGTTCCTGGTGCCTTGCTGGGCCTCTGCCCTGGGTGGGCCAGGTGAGGGTCACGCCCCCACAAGCCTATTTTTTGGCTTTTTTCTTTTTTATATTCACCAGTTGGAGTTTTCTGTACCTACTTGGATCCCTGGAAGCTGAGGAGGCATTCAGCCTTGATAATGGGGTCCTGATTTTGTGCAGTTTGCCAGAAATCTAAGTGCTTCAATCAAAATGGGCTTAAAGGCCTCTCACATCTTACTTGGCTTCTTACAGAATCAGGGCATAATTTGAAAACGTCTTTTAAATTATAGAGAAAACCAGCTAAGAGCGTTTGCCTTGCCGGTTCCTTCTCGGGAGGAGGCTAATTTTGAAATAATTTTCCCTTCCGAGCCTTCAGTGTGTGTCCGTGTGTTGGAGGAGAAACGCTGTGCCCACGGTGCGGGGAGGCACTTGGGCCAGGACTGGCCAGGACCCTGGCTTCCGGTGTCCGCTCCTCAAAGCCCAGGCCTGAGCAGATGGCATGGGGGCCGCAGGTGGCGGTGTCTTCTACCCGGAGAGGCCTGGGCACCTTCGCAGAGGCCGCCCCAAACGCGGTCAGCAGAGATGCCCTGACTCCTGCTGCTGCACTGGCCGAGTGGACGCCACAGCACTGGGGGAAGGGCGGCCACTGGCCTGGAAGGGACAGGAGCCGAGGGGAGCCTGGCCTCAGCGGCCGCCCCCATCAAAACCCACACCCCCCACCTTCGCCATCACTATCACTGTGAACTGTGGGGTCAGCGGGTGGGAGAGGCTGCCTGTCCTTCCCTGGAGCTCGGCCGCCATGGCCCACACTGCCGGGCGATGCGTTTGTCTGACCACGTCTGCCCTCCTGTCCCGTGAGGTCGGGGCGGGTCTCTGACCCTGTTCCAGCACCAGCCGGCGTCAGGTCCACAGCCATAAGTGAGTAAGTGCCGTGCTGGAGAGCACATGAGCTTGTGAATGCTGCAGGAATGAATCCAGGCTGTGTTGTGCTTTCGTTCTTTATGTCTAAATAAGATACTTGGCATATTCATACACAAGCAAATTGCTTGTTTTCAAAAGCAGAGAACAAATGTCCACATCATTTTTCCTCCGCTCTCGGCTTCTCCGGTGGGAGCCGTCACTTAAACACTTCCTGATGCGCTGAGGGCTGGAGCAGCAGACGCCCCACACCCTCATCCTAGCGACGAGCTTCCCGTCTCGGGAGAAACCACTAAGCTGAATTGAGATTAAAACACAGTTGCCGCCGGGCGCGATGGCTCACGCCTGTAATCCCAGCACTTTGGGAGGCTGAGGTGGGCGGATCACCTGAGGTCAGGAGTTCGAGACCAGCCTGACCAATATGGTGAAACCCCATCTTTGAAAACAAAACAAAACAAAACACAGTTGCCCTCTCATCTGCTGATGGGGTCGTCTGCTCTGTGTTAGACTGCTCCTTGCAGATGGAACCAAGGCCGGGCATGAGCTCGGGAGGTTCGTGTTGAGGAAGGTCGGTCAGGCAGTCAGCGGCTCCTCCAGGAAGGGCCACTGTGTCTCCCGCTGTCCCTCTCATTCCAAGGATGAAGACGGTTGTGGCGGTTGTGAATGTTGGCACGTCAGGAGCTCTGGACGCAGGCTGGGGTAGACCTTGCCTGTCCTTCTCTGGAATGCATGAGAAGCTCATTGCCCAGGCCAGCTCAGCCTGTGTGTCCCAGCCAGGCCGCAGCTGCTGTGGGTGTATTCACAGCATCTCTGAGCTTTGGGAAGCTTTGGACGGAGTGGTTCCTCTGCCCTGGAGGGCTGGGAGAAGCTGGTGTCGGGGAGAAGCTGGTGATGGGGAGAAGCTAGCATCAGGGAGAAGCTGGCGCTGGGAGAAGCTGGCGTCGGGCCTCCTGAGGAAGGGAATCCCTGCAGCGGGGCTGCATCGTGGGAACCGGCAGGGTGCGGGCATGGCTCACTGAAGCTGTGGGTGCTAGGTCCCTCTGGGATGCTCTGGCAGGGTGGAAGGAGGGCAGGTGTTCAGGGCTCAGCCCAACTCAAAGGAGCTTCCAGAGACCCCTGCACTTCCTCCCAGGTCTCTCAGGGGGTCTCAGAAGGCCCGGGGTAGAGTCAGCCTTTCTCTGAGGACTTAGATCGGGTTTATGGCTTCCTCGGAAAACAACCTTTTCCGATGATGAAAGTCTGTGCAGAACGTTCATCCAGGGGGCAGGTTGGCTGGGGAGCTGAGGGTCCAGTGTCAGTTCAGAAGCCCCTGAAGCATCACAAGAGACCCCGGCTTCCGAGACTGCAGGGGTTCGCTGCGGGCAGTGGGAACCATACTCCTCCCCAGCCGGCCATCCACCTGCTCCCCTCCCTGCCCCTCCCACCCACACCCCTCCCCACCTCTTCCCCTCCCCTCCCCACTCTCCCGCCCGCACCCCTCCCCTCCCTACTCTCCCACCCACACTCTTCCCATCTCCCGCCCGCACCCCTCCCCTCCCTACTCTACCACCCACAGCCCTCCCCTCTCCCACCCGCACCCCTCCCCTCCCCTCCCCTCCCTCACACCCTCACCCCTCCTGCCCTATTCTGCTGTTAAAGATCGCTGTGTCTGTCTTCCCATCTGTGATGTAAAGCACCTCTCTCTGCATGCGTGAACATCAAAAGGGCTGAGGAGCAAACTCACGTTCAGCATAAATGAAACCGCCCAGAAAACACCTGCGTGAAACGTGAGCTCGGGCCGAGGCTGGAGCTTGGCTGAGACAGACAGAAGGCGCACATTTCTGAGGTTCGGATGCATCCAGCAGGCGGCCGTTCTTAATGCTGGAGCTGAACAGCTTCCTCGTCGTCGTCACGTGCCTGTCCTGGTGCAGTTCTGTAAACGCGAATGACCCTATTTTGGTTTCCATCGGTGCATAAAGGCCACACGGTAACGCACGGGGCTCAAACAACACCCGCTGCGTCCGCCAGCGATCAGTTGTGCAGTGAGCGGGGCCTGGCGGGAGGGGCCGTGCCGGTCTTGTCAGCGGTCATTTCTGGGGCAGCCGTGACTGGCCAGCCAGCTGGGGCCTGGACGGAAGGCCGGCGTCTCCTCCGGGTAGTCAGGGCCCTCCATGCGGCTCCTCTGGGGAGCGGCCTGGTCTCTCACAGACGGCCGGGGCTCCTGGGAAGCAGAGACCGTCTGTGCCAGGGCTTGTAGGCCCAGTCCTGGACCTGGGGTCATGCTGGCCACCACAGCTGGGGCCTCACCCAGGTTCACGGGGAGACGCACAGGGCCGAAATGCGGGAGGCCAGGGCCCGCAAGGTAGGAGCAGGTAGCCAAGCCAGAGCCCCATAGCTGCCCAGGCCCCTCCCGGAGGCCCCAGCCCAGCACTTCTGGAGCTCTCCCCTCAGAAACCCAACACTAGGTTCACCCCAAACCCAACCTGGTGGGACCCCAGCTCGCCCCCACCTCATGGCCGCCCCATCCTCTCTCCCTGGGCATTACCTCCTAGAGGAGACAGGGTTGTGAGTGGGCACTGGCCACACTGCAAGAGACACGGCCAGGTTTCCAGATCCTTCCACACACGGTTGGACGGGCCTACCTCCCACCTCGTGGGGAAGGCTGGGACTCCAAATCTGGGACAGATGTGCACTGTTGTTTTTTAAATAAAGGGACCAAAGGCCCAGGTCTTTCTAAGGCTACATGGACGTGGGACTGTGCCCAGCACAGTTCCCGGGTCTTGCGTGTGCTCTCATGGGCACCCGGCAGTTGAGATTTTGGGAAGCTCCGCCCAGTAGCCACAGAGCTCAGCTGGGAATCCCAGGACCCTTGCAAGGACATAGAGGTGTCACAGAAGCACCGTGGCCTTGGCAGCTGCTGGTCCCACGCCAGCCAGGACACACATTTGCTGTGGCGAGGGGAGTGCAGGTCCCCAGGCAGAGGCCAGTGTCATCCGGGTGCAGGAAGCGCCAGGCAAGGACCCTCTCGTCTGCCCAGGGAGCCCCCAGGCATGAAGTCACTTCCTCCAGGCTCACCTTCAGGTCTCTTCAAGGCCAGGGGGAGGCTCACCCGCACTGGGGTGTCGACGAAGGCCCGAGGCCCCTGCAGGCCCTGATTTCCCCAGAGAGGCATCGTTGCCCACTGGCCCCCCATCCCTCCTCCTTCAGCTGC